TTGTTATCTTTGTTGGTTTATGTTTGCTTGGTTTGAAGCCGTTTTATAGTTTGATTAATGATATCATATGGTTTACTTAGTAGATTTTTCCATCCTTATGTTTTGTGTCATCTGTAATTTATGATGATATTCTAGCTATTAAAGGGTTTTTTTTCCCTATACAAGTAGAATTCAATGAGAAACTTATCTTCTGATATTTTATCACATCACTTCATAAATTTGTTATTTTTCTCTCTAAGTGGGAATTAATGTTTCGTAAAAGTGAAAAAGCACAAAGCTCGTTCGAACTTGTTCGTATTCAAGAAAAGCTCGTTCGTTTATAATCGAGCCAAGTTCGAACATAAAATTAGACTCATTTAATTATCGAACGAACACGCGGACGGTTCAACACATTAAAAGTGTACTCCCTCCCAAGTAGGAAACCTCAGGGATGGTTCTGTGTTTTCTTATTCTTTTCTTCTACACAAGTAACTTCAGAAGATCTTATTAAAGCATACAGGCTAAGAAAAATTAAATTAATTAATTACTACGAGTACAATCTTCGGGACCGAAATACAGTTTCGACTTCACGGTGTCGAACACGTACCGTGTGTTCGCCTGCTGGTAAGACCCGATTAGGATGACGTTGTGAATATTGGCCGGTGTAAGAAAGTGAAAAAAATATGTTCTATATTATTCACAAAGACATATACACATATATATAGATACATAGAAGACCTAAACCTAACTTATTGTACAAGAAACCATTTAACATAACTAACACCCCCCCTCAAACTCAAGGTGGTATAGTGGAGATCAACTTGAGTTTGCTAAGAAGTAAACAAAAGTGACCGGGAAGGAGAGACTTCGTGAAGACATCCGCTGGTTGATCTATAGAGGAGACGGAAACAAGCTTCACGGTCCCATGTGCAACATGCTGTCGAATGAAGTGACAGTCAATCTCAATATACTTAGTACGCTCATGAAATGTATCATTATGAGACATCTTTATAGCACTCTGACTATCACAATGTAAAGCAGTAGACACCGACTGAGGTGCACCAAGATCAGCAAGTAGTCGACGCAGCCATAATAACTCTGAGGTGGAATCAGCAAGAGCACGATATTCAGACTCAGCACTCGATCTGGAAACCAATGTTTGCTTCTTACTGCGCCAAGAGACAAGTGAATCACCAAGAAAGAAGCAGTACCCAGTAATAGAACGACGATCAGTAGGATCTCCAGCCCAATCTGCATCAGAATAACCGATAAGCGTCAAAGAAGAATGGGCCGAGAAGTGTAAACCATGCAATAGAGTGCCCTTCACATAGCGAAGGATGTGCAACACAGCAGAATGATGCGTGGTTCTCGGAGCAGCCATAAACTGACTCACAATATGAACAGCATGAGCTATATCAGGCCGAGTGACAGTCAAGTATATCAAAGTCCCAACAAGCTGACGATAGAATGTAGGATCCTCAAGAAGAGAGCCATCAAGTGGAGTAAGACAAACATCATAATCAAGAGGAGTGGAAGCTGTCTGACAATCAGTAAGACCGGCCCGAGCAAGAAGATCAGAGGCATACTTGGCTTGAGACAAATAGAATCCATCTGACGAATC